AATGACACATAACAACAAGAATAATAATTTTGTTTTGTTTTTAAAAACCTCTTCATCCTTAATATTAGCTATTTGTTTACTTACTGGTCGCTATGAGTTGTAGTTGACTTGATGGCACCTAACACCACCATTAACCTAAAGATTGGTAGGTCAAACCTACTCCAGGGTGCCACAGAAGAAAGTCCTGGCAATCTGCTCCTGTGAAGATTGCAACCAAGCAAATCATATGGAGCTGTTCTACTCTACAACCCATGGGACTTCCACACTCGACGGGGATGAGGTTTTATTTATATTCTTGTTCTGAAGTGCCCTGTCTAGCTTTGAAGAGCAAACAATGGCCCAGTGGCGCCTTCTCATGATAAAATCTGTTCCTATACCCTCCCCGTGCTGTGTGGGCGTGGGTGGTCGAGTGGACTAGGGTTGAGGGGAAACAGGTTACAAATCTAAGAAGACTGTGGAATGATCTGGGCTTTTACGTACTTCCCTTAACTGAAGGCTTGTACCAAAGGCCTTCTTCACAGGGAGTTATTTTTCCTATGAGGTTTAAGAGCTCTGGTGAATATCTTTCATATGACAATTTGTTCTTGCCTTCAATTCCTGATTGTTCCCATTCCCCTCTTTTGAGGGCCAGGAGGGGCTTTGGTTACCATGGAAGCTCTGTGGGATCCTGACAGTGAAGCTGGAACTATAGTCAGGGTCACAGATGTGCATGAGAAAGATATGCCTGATCATGGGCTTGGGAAGAATCCCAGACACACATTAATCTCATATCAGTTTTGCAGGTGATATAAATTGAGGCCCAGGCCAGAAGTGTCTTGTCCTAGACCATTCACATTAACTGCACTTACACTACTACGTGGCCGTAATTGATTATTCAATGCAGATCAGGTGCTAAAATAAAAACCGCTTCGAATAAGCTTCCTGACGGTCCCAGGTGGAAAGGTCTATTTGGGTCCCCATTTTTCAGATGGGAAAACTGAGGATGAAGGTGTTTCAAGAACTCTCAAGTCCACACTCCTGGTAAGTGGGAGAGATGGGATTTTAATGGAGAGGTGGAGCCTGAACCTGTGTTCTGGACCACGACTCAACACTCTGTGGGTGGCGGAAATACAAAGTTGGCAGAGGGCTCGCTTCAGCAGCACGTATACTAAAATCGGAACACTACAGAGACCATTAGTATGACCCCTGTGCAAGGATGACCCACAAAGTTGTGAAGACTCCCATATTTTTTTTGAGAGAAAAAAAAAA